ACTCAACTCAGGTTGTTGGCTTACTTACTGGTTCTGTTACTGACATTTTTATACCATCATTGAAATTTTCACTTAACATACTTTGCTTTAATTTCACATACTTTGACTTCATGGCGTGTTCAAGCACAAATAAATAAATAAATAAAATAAAATATCTGGTTACCAGATCAATAAAGTTAAGCAGCTCATCTAGCTTTATACATTGGTGCACTACATGCGCAGGTAACCAAGTCAACTTTCCATCATTCGAAGGTAGCGCGCTGTAAACTCATACCATAGGTATGGTCAGAAAAGGTTCCAGTTCTGCTGCAACTGCGGCCATTTGTTTTTTATTCCCTTTCTCAATTTCCGTGGCTCCTGATGTCCACCTCTTTACCGGCGATTCACTTGTTCGCCAAATAAGATTAATAAAAGCCGACTTATTCGGCGACTGAGTGAATTGTCGCCGAAGAGATGAACGCCAGGAAGCCACAGGAAAGGAAATGTAATGGGTAAATACATTAAAGTTGAGCACCTCGCTTGGTGTTCAACATGAGCATCACAATGAAGATGTATTGTTTAGTAGGCTATGAGTCGTTTGATAGTGAATATTTGACATTGGGAGATGAATTTCATGAGTTCATAAGAACTATCCATCAAAGCACTACGTCTGTACAAAACTGACATATTCTTCATGAAAAACCGAACTCATGCTAAACAAGTGACTCACCTGAAATACAGCGTATCTGATTACCTGGAATAGTGAAGGCAAGTTCAAAGAATTGCATTTCAGTAACTTGGGAATTAGTCTAACTATTCTAAAGCACCTGTATGCACAGACTCCCACACGCACTCCTACACAATCCTCATATTAAGAAGTGAAGGTCGCTTCTCTACATAGATTTGGGATTGGAACAGGTGTACAAATTCCCCCAGAATCGAGTATTACATGGAATGTATATATACAATAATCTGGGGTTAATTGTGCCATCGCAACAGACGGTCTTCTTCGTCAAAACCATATGTACTGGTGTGAAGTTTCTGCGATGCATTTATAACTGACTGTTCAGGGATGAGGCTCATTCTACTTCTACTCGTCTTAGCTGTGACAACTCAAGCGGGCTTGCTGGACATCGGTAAAGTGAAAGATTTCTTTAAAGGAGGAAAATACGGCGAGAAAATTAAAAACGCGACACTCTTGAAGTTCAAGAAGGTGAGTGTTATAGAGAGTTTGTTAGATGGAACATGAGCACCAAAAAATACTGATTGTCGCGAACTGTTCAGTTATTCGAAAAAACCGGCATACTTTCCCTTGGCAGCAAGTTGTCCGAGATGAGAAGCAAGCTGATGAAGAAGCTCGAACTCTCAAAACTCAAGAAAGTAGAAGTTGACCGCAAGATTAAGGTAAGCGCTTCCATATAATTGCAAATTTTGAGATGTGACTTACTGATGAGGCTAGCAATTCAGGAAATCTTGGCCAAACGAGGGATGATACAGTAGAAAAGGCGATTAACACAATATTCGATATCAATGCTGGTAACAACGTCGGCCAACTACTTTACCAAAGTGACATCCTTCTGACAAAGTGGGTCCTTCATATGTTCCTGTTTAACCCTCAAAATTATACTTTCCGGTTTAACCTTCAACATTTCGCACGAAAAATCGTTGTCAGGAAACAAGCAGAAGAAGTCATCGAAAGTATCGAAGGAAAGAACGGTCAAATGAAGAGACAAGCAGTCAATCGTGACTTCTAATCCTGATAACAATTGGGTGGACGGAGTCTTTTATAGATTCGACGAAAGCATAGGTCTGCTTAACTGTTACAAATACCAAGAAGAACATCTTTGAGTTACTTCATTATCCGTTGAATGTATAATTTCAGACCCTCGTACCAGAAAAATATTCGAGTTAAGTGCCAAACAATGGGAAAATGCTACATGTATCGATTTTACTGAAGACAAAGAAGAAAAAGGTTGCATAGAAAAGCATTGCTAATGAGATTACGATCAATTTTTATTATAGAGCCTCATTACATTTTGGTGCTCAAACATGGAGCCTGTTTCTCAGAAGTAGGACGAGTTGGCTTCGAACAGTGGCTTTCACTTGATCAAGGTTGTGACCAGGTAAAGCAATCCCACCTGTACAGTTTTACGTAATGATGTTTTGAAAATTATTAAAGCCTATAAGACATGGGTCAACGTGCTTGTACCTTCTTGGCACTTACTTTAGATAGGAATTGCTACGCACGAGATTGGTCATGCACTGGGACTTTTCCATACCATGTCACGCTATGATCGAGATGACTTCATAACAGTCGTCATCGATAATGTTGTAGTAAGTCATCACATGCACACTAAATCAAACAAAACCATAGAACGTAAGTAAATCGTCTCAGGATAATTTTGTGGATCAATACATCCCACAGACCGAGGAAACAAGTGATAACTACGGCCTCACTTACGATTATGGTAGTATTATGCACTATGGAGGCATCCAGGTAGACAAAAAAATAACACCTACCAGAGTTGAAGTAATATGCTTGATGATTTCAGTGCTACTCGCAACGGTGAACCTACAATGATAGCAAATGACACATTGTACCAAAAAACAATGGGCTCGCATATCCTTTCGTTCCTTGACAAGTCCCTGATCAACGAGCATTACGAGTGCAAAGGTACACATAACGCCAAAACGACTGCTAAAAATTGCTGAAAATGTTGCTATTTAGCAAAGTGTCCGCAAGAGACCTCAGCCCAGTGCCAGAATGGTGGATTCCCTCACCCACGAAAATGCTCAGAATGTATCTGTCCAAGTGGTTACGGCGGTGCTCTTTGCAATGAACGAGTAGGGCAAAGATGTGATAGTTGAGTAAGTCGGCAGTGAAGACTTTTTTCAGCCAGCCGGATGTGGACAAACTTTGACAGCGACGGATAAGAAGCAATTCCTCAATCAATAAACTCGGTCACGGACAGGTCCCGTCCGATATGCGAGATGACTACCAATTCTGCAATTACTGGATTGAAGTATGATCTACCGTCCATTCGCCATTCTTTCTTGTGTAAAATGCAACACCTTTCAGGCTCTCCTAAAGGAAAAAGAATTGAAGTTAAGATCAACGCGATTTCACACGGCTATGATCACGAGGGCTGCGTTTTAGGTGGTGTTGAAATTAAGTCCAGCGGGGACCAAACGAACTGGCTACAGGTGAGTTCATTTTCCGAATCACGGTCCCAAAAGATAATTTCACTTTTGCAGATTCTGCTCAACCAAGGATAAAAATACAGTTCTTGTTTCGGCCACAAATCGTATGCCTGTGATCATGTTCAATAGATCCGGTGAACAGCAAATCATTCTAGAGTACAAAATCGTATCGTGATTGGACAGCATTCTTCTCACGAATAAATGAATAACAATACCACGAGTGTTTTCCTCAAAAATATGTCATAATAGGTAGAATAAGTAATAACAACTACAAAGGTATTATTGTCAGAGAAGGACACGCCGGCTTCAAGAGATCAGCTGTAGGTAGAGGAGAGAACACTATTTGTTGACCGGAGTCTGGAGAGCACCTTGCAGTAGGGCAATCATGCACGCAAAAAACCCTAATGAAAGGGGTTCAGACGCAAGTTTGGTGTTGGAGTGGTTTCCTAGGTTTCAGTGTACGTGGCGCAGTGAACAGAGCTTGGCTCGGTAATTTGACTTTAATGGCACAGAGAGGGGAAACTTCGTGGGTCAGTGCTTCAACCTTAAAAGCCAAGAGAGGACGCCTTAGGCTCGGTGATTTGGTTCTAGTGGCCAATTGAGAATTAAATTTCGTGATATACGGACGCACACGCAAACAGACAGACAGGCATACTGTAGCGCTATATACAGTAGCGGTCAAAAGTTTGGAAACTTTTTTATTTTTGATCTAGCGTAGCCAATAGACAATGAAATTGTCCCAAATTCACATATTATATACAGAATCAAGTGTAGATTACGATGGCAACATAATTTTTTGAAAACTGAAATCGCATTTGAAAAATACGAATTTTTATAAGAAATGGCGCGTCAAAAGTTTGGAAACTTCCGAATTCCAAAGCGAATTCGGCAAAATAGCTCTCGAATCCACATGATAAATTAGTTATTCGATGAGTAGCTTTGAATTTCTATGTTAGCGTCGTTTTTATTGACATGGAGTTGATTATAAAATAATTTTAGGACTTTTAAGTCGAACCCTACACACTGTGAACTAAATCACATTGTTTGGTGGGATTCTTAACTGGAATGTGGGTTGAGCGACATGCCAGTTCTTCCGTGGGATGTAGAACTCAATTAGACTTTAGATCTTGACTTGGTCGCTTCATAACAGCTTCTTTTTCTGGGTTTAGGAAGGCGGCAGTGAGGAGGTAGGCCTGCATTGGGTCATTTCCGCGATAGAAAACCCATCTTTTCCGGCTAGTTCTGACTATCGAAGGTAAGCATTGTATTCTACAGACTATACTTGTACTTAGCCCAACCCACATTTCGCTGGATACCTAGAACTGGGGAATCGCCGAATGGTCGGACACATCTTCATCCATGGCAATACTTCCACTATTTCTGACTGTTGGAATCTTATACTCAAAATGAGGTTTCCATTTGACAAACACTTCACAGGGTCCACAACATCATTTTTAGGAAGATAGAAATCCTGCTCGTCGCTGAGGACAAAGTTTTACCTCTCGCCTTCGGTCCATGTTAGCCGTTAGTGTGCGGAAGCCAGTTGGGCCATCCTGCTCTTGAAGCCCAACAATGGCTTCTTGTTGGGACATCATCCGTAATATTCACCAGGTCGCGGCCGATGTTGGGCTGTGCTTGGACTTTCATATGATTAGGTTCAAACCAGAAAAAATCGTCTCTTAGTTGGGCATATCGGGGGTACGGGGCGTGCCAACCACCCTTCGAAGTATTTGAGGAGGGCCAATTTTCTTGTGAGAATACTTTTTTGTGAATGATCATTCTTCTTATGCTTACTCGACTCCAAAAACGCTAGAAACATTCGATAATATTGCTTCCGTAGAGACTGAACTACTAAGAAACAATTTCAATTTCGTATTCCGGATTGTAGGGTTTAAAAAAGGACCTCCATGGAAAAACTTTTCTTTGCATATGAATTCATTTTGAAATTACACATTGCTCAATGGTTTAACTAAAATTAACAGAAACAAGTGAAACATTGAAGAGTAGGAATCATAATGATGAGGGAAACAAAAAGTTTCCAAACTTTTGACGCGCCATTACTTGAAAAAAATCTTATTTCTTAAACATGATTATAGATTTTTATATTCTTCCATGTTTTCTGGGCGCGATATTTTGTTGTTACTAAATTGTGAGGGCAATTTCATAATGTGTCGGCCGCGCTAGATAGATTTTTTTCGAAAATAAAAAGTTTCCAACTTTGCGCTTAACTGTAATAAACCAGATTTAGTCCCGTCAACCGCCGGGACCTTCCTTTCCTGCGCAAGCTTTCTATCCTCCGCTATGGTCCCTTCCTCCTGTGACACCAACACCTGGAAGTGACGCGTATGCAACACAATGGTGTTTCATACAGTAGAAGGGACACAATCATGATATGACGGTAGATTTTTCGCTTCCCTTCCTCATCCTCCCTTCCTCTCTCCACTGCCCTCCAGCTGCCACTGCAGCACCATGTGGAATGAACGGAAGTGTGCTAAGCAGGTGTTTATATAGCCCTAAGAGTGTTATCACAACTATCCTGCTACAAAACATTGATATCTCAAATCCTGTAAGCTACCCGATTTGTTAGCGGTTTGTTTATCCCATGAGCTTCCTTCTCACTCACTTCATTTTGCGGACGGACACACATACATACACACACATACAGATACACAAACCGACAGCTTTATAAAATAGAAGGATAGGACAGCTATTGAGCTCGGTCGGAAGTGGCTGTTCGGCACATTTCAAAAAGGGGTCTGATCAATTCCGAGTGCTTTGCCATGTTGACCGTTTATGTGTGCATTTCGATTGTATAAGGATAAAGGATAAAGCATTTGCCGTTGATCAATCCCTTTTTGGGATGCGGCACGCATTCTACTTCCATTTGTACATTCGCAGTGGCATTTGAATGCGATGTGGCCTATACAATGACTTGCGGGGGCCAGCCGATGTTCAAGTCAGTGTTTTTATCCTCCCAGACAAGTCTGGTACCAATTAACCGACCCCGGAGGGATGGAAGGCTTGGTTGGCCGGGCGACTCACGACCCAGGATTTGATCCCCGGACCGCTCGCGTGGTAAGCGCGCCACTTGTCACTACACCACTTCCGCCCATGCGGTTGGTATTACCCCCTGAAATGTCTACCCTACCTCATATTTCCTACTATCCGCGCTGGTGATAAAGCGTTATGACTGTCTGTGTGCATGTGTCTGTGTGGGTCATGAATGCATGGCTCGCATCGCAGTAGTGATTCGTTGGTGGTTCTTGCAGTGTTATTAAGGGTTGGACGAAGATACGAAT